CTTGTATTAAAGTTTTTCTTCATTACCCATTTAAGCCGTCTCCAGCCATTATTAGTCTCAAAGTGGGTTCCTCGTCATCGAATTCTAAAAGTACGATGAAACTCACAAAAAAAGTATGAGAAACTGCATTAGGCTTCACATGGACTATGCTAAGTAGTGGTGTTTGATTGGTCACACTCTTAACACAATTAATGTTGATAGTAGTCTTGTACAAGACTAATGTAATGGTTTTATTATTCCATTGGAACTTTAGTCCTAAGAATAGACAGGTTCTTTGATATTATGTTTGAGGTTCCAAGTAACTTACCTGACATTGGAATCGAAAAAGTAAGTCGTCTTCTGCAATGCCTGCTAAAGGCTCGGCGAAGAAAACTGTGGTATCAGCATCGTGAGGACTGGCTACTATAATATTAGATATCCACAATAGAAAGACTGTTTTCACGAAAGGAAACATGCTGGTTGTCTTTTTCACGCCCTTCAGCCAACTGGACCAGGCAGAAACAGCAAGATAACTTAAACGTAGGACAACTTGAAAAAAAAAAACTCGAAGTCTATGAGAAGTTAATGGTATGAAAGACCTTGTTTTGCTTATACACCTGCCATAAGTTCAGCGTATCTCAATTAATCTGATTACTCAGGCTTAAACAAAGCTAGCATCTTCCTTACTAACGAGATTAGATAACCTTGAGATTTATCTATGTCCTGGTGTATGAATGTTTGAGACTTATTTCGTTTATCTAATTGTCCAGTTTTTTCGTTTTCTCTATTCTTGTGAAGAACACCACATGGTATATTCGTCATCATGATATTGAAGTTTGTTGTGTAATTAGTTACCGACTGGTACTACATCGTTCAAATTCGTTTCAAGGTTATTGATCATATTCAATTTACTTCAGTGATTTTTTTATTGTAATGCAACTAGTGTGTTCTATTTTGTTTGGATGAATTGATACACGCTTCACATATGAAAGCACAAGTGGAGCTAAAATATTTTAACTTTAATAGATCAGTTCAAATTACACCTAATACGGCTGCTATTTCTGAAGTTAGCAATTTAAACTGCAGTCTAATTTGACACTTTTGCAAACAATTCAAGAAATACAAAGAAAAAAGAAATGCCAATGGAAATATAATTTATCCGTCTGCTTGTTTGTCTAAGCACAAAGCTCCACAATGGGCTATCTGTGCTCTGCCAACCACGGGTATCGAAACCCGGATTCTAACGTTGTAAGTCCGCAGACACACCGCTGTGCCACTGGGGGGGGGGGGCTACCCGTCTGCACTTGTTTCAATAAAAAGGTGAAATAACATGACTGTAAGATATTCAAAAATAGTTAGCCCATCAACATTATTCTAGTACTTGAACCTCATAAAATATTTGCTATAATAGAAACAGCCAACGCTCGATATTCGGTCAGACCTTTGTCCCCATGGGGAGCAGCCAGCCCCTCCCCATTCTTCGCTAAATAATATTTTTCTTATAAGTAAGAGCGAACTAACGAGTAGTTTAAAATGCTACAAAGGTCGCGAGATTTGAATACTAAACACTGATCACGCTGCCCTCCAAACTGGTCATCCACCAAGTCGTTTTGGTGGTTTTCAATTTCAAGGGTTATGGTATAGAGATAGGGTAACTTCTTGTCTCTTAATGTTACTTGCTACCCTGTCACTGTTAGATGTGGCTTACAAAATCCAGAAGGACAGGCAGTTCAAGTCAAAGGTCACCAAGCATTTCTTCTCAGTACAATATATGAACCTTCCTAACACCTATTTAAGTTTGGAGTTTGTCCTTTCTGCCAGCGGGAATGATACTGTCATAATATGTCACTTTTATAGAATCCAGTCTTGTCAATATCAACATTATAGCGAATTTTCATTTTATCACTAGCTGACTTAAGTCTTTCCCTGGTAGTCATGTATGAAATCAATGGTATTTCTTGGTTTCTCTGAATATTTTGTGTAAGACTCTGCTGAAAGACTATCCTATCCAATAGCACTTTTAAGTTCTCTCCCAAACATTAGTGATGATGATGTGTTGTCTGTAGCTTCATGTACTGCTGTCTGATAACGTATAAGTGGCATTGGAAGATCTTGATCCCACATTTTCTGATGTTCAATCACATAAATGGCTAATTGATTTGACAATATATAGTTGTATATCTCTCCACCATACTGTCGAAATGTGGATGAAGGCTTGTTGTCCTAGTCTTTTTTATTTCAAGAATCTGACATATTTCTGCAAAGAAGGTTGACTCAAAGTTCTATCCCTGATCTGTCTGGAGTTCTATATACACCATAAATCTTGAAAGAAATTTTTTGACGAATTTTTCTGTCATAGTTTCTGCTTGTTGATTAGGAATAGCATATGCTTCTCACCGTTTGATGAAATATTCCATCACAACCAGAATTCGTTGACGAATTTCCTTGCTATAGTTTCTGCTTCTTGGTTAGGAATATCATATGCTTCTGGTCATTTGGTTAAATAGTCCATCACAAACATGATGTATTTATTCCCATTGTTACTCAGTGATAGAGGTAAAAGCACATCAAAGACAATTTTCTCTAGTGATGTTCCAACACAATACTGTTTTATCTGCCAATGTTGTTTTTATCATGAACCTTTTCGCTCACAACATGGTTCACATAATTTACACAAATTATCTACAGATCCCTGGCACTCAATCCAATAGAAATGCTATCTTACCCTCTCCAGCATCTTCTTAATACCTAAGTTTCCAGTTGTTGGAAGGTTGTGGAGACGATGGAGTGCTTTAGAATGTGGAGGCTGTGAAAGTGCCTATTGTTTCTGTCCATTGGTATTTTCTCATTTCTGATATAAGAAGTCCTATTGTTGGTATAATGAATCCCATTGTATCTTTGTCTTTGAGCTGTATGGAGTGATTATTTGTCATGGGGTTTTTGTACTAATTTTCATCCATTTACTATTTTTTTCCAAACTTGTATATCTTGCCTGAGCACCTTTTAATTGAGTTTCTATAGTTCTTCATCATCAGTTGTAGATATCACATTTTGGATTATACTCTGTTGTACTTTATATTGGTCGTCTTTATTATTTTTGCTTCTATCTTTTTACAGTGTTCACATTCTGCATTAACTCATGATTTTCTGGATAATGCATCAGCATTTGTATTCAAGTAATTTGTGTAGAGGATGAGCTGTGTCAAAGAATAATTTTACAAAATGGCATGAGTCGGAGCACAATCAAAGAAACCATCTTATTTCATGTAGGTTTTTTTTGTGTTGACCAATTCTGAACAGAATTAGTCTTACATATATGAATATGTCATCCAAGTAGATACATACGACTTTCAAAGGTAGCTCAGGGAAAGCATACTCCATTAGTCGTTGTAATGTAATAGGTGCATTACATAAACCAAATGTAACACAACAAATTGCCACAATCCATTTTCTGCAGTAAAAGATGTTTACTCTCTACTTGTTTGATCAACATACACTTGCAAATATGCATTCTTAAAATGCAATGTTGAAAACCATTTTGATCCAAATAGAGAATCCAAAGTAGAGTCAGTCCTTGGCAGTGAGCAGACATCTTTCTTTGTAACGTCATTCACCTATTGGTACTCCATGCAGAAGCTTGTGGCCCATCTTCTTTCTTCAAAAGGATAATAGGTGATTCCCATGGACTAGTACTCTCCTTATTCCTTCCATTTCTTTGGAAGTCTTAGCCTATTTAGCAAGTGGGAGTTGTCTGACTGACATATAGGGGCTATATTTCTGGTATCAATCTTATGAGATATCTATTCATGTGGTCTACTGAAGAAGGTATCTTAATATTCATTGAGAAATACATGTAATCTTTGACATTGATTGGCTATAAGACCTCCAGAGCTCTAGTTATACATCGCTTGTAAGTGAGATGGTAAGCTATCCTAGGGTGAGGATTTGAAATCCGATTTCCTACATCTTACCTCAATGATGAATACTTTTGATGTTCTTTGATGTGAAAGTACTACACGTACAGCTTCAATAACTTCACATCTTACAATATCCCATCCAGACTTGATGTAAAGTTTATGATTTGTTATTTTCATAGCTCTAATGATGATAATTTTAATCTTCACATCTACGAAAGTTCTTTCAACCATTAATCCTTTAAGACATGTTTGGTTCTACCATGCATCAGTCACTAGATGTAAATTTAATCCTATTCATGAATATTTCACTTCTTTGTGATACAATGATTGCCTTCCTTGTTGTTACTGGAAGTTAAACCACTGGTGTAGTAATTGTAGTAGACTGTGAAGCTGTTTGAAGATAAGATGAACCTTGCATCTATGTCTCTGTATGAAGTCAGTCTCCAATATACATTCTTTCTTGATGTCACATACTCACACATTTTAAGATACAGAGAAGCTTCCTACATTAAGATTCCAACTATCTTTCCCTGGAATTGTTTGTCCACCTTCTGTTCACATCAGTCCCTCTTTTTTTCTTCATATCTAAATGTAATTTCCTATCTCTCATTAACAAATTGGGTCAAATAATTGTAGCTGTAGAAGCAGTGTTGATCAATATACTACAAAGTTTTTCCATGAATAAAGCTATTGATTCATGGACAATTTGACTCAAAAATGAACTTGTTATATAATTTGGAATAGATGAGAAATTTGCTTCTGAAATTCCCCCATAACTCCAGCTAGTTCCTGTCTTTTTTATGTTTGGTTAGACATTTCTTGTTCCTTTAGTCTGGTTAGGCTCTTCACTTTTTCTGTCATCCTTTAGAAAAGTGTTGATCTCCCCTACAAATGTTTGTCTGCAGGTCCTCTAAGTATCTCCTTTCAAGTTACGAAACATCTATTGTCTTTTGGTTTATCTTCTCTATTCCATGTAACTAGTTGCCAGACCTTTTTTTTTCTTCTTCATTTCTTCTAGACCACTGATAGAGAGAGTTTATGTTTCAATAATACAAGATCTGATATTCCTATAACATCTAAATGGTGCCCCATTAGTACTTCATCTCCAACTTGAATGGATTCAAGTTCCATCATCAACTGGAAAACTTCCTTTAAAAATACACACCTACTTTGCTTTAACCTTATTCTCATATCCTTGTCGTTTATGGTATCTGTAAATTGGTTACGTGTCAATGGGTTCATCATTTCACATGGAGCATCAGAGTAAGATAATGGGGCAAGCTTTCCAAATATTTTGCAAATTCAGGTAAGGTCTCTTCTTTTCGCCTACTCTATTTTGGAAATTTGCTCTGGATACTTCCTTCATGTGTTTCACTCCGAACCTGTTGAATAAGGCAACTACTAATGCTTGATAGCTGCTACAGCTCTTAGCTAGAAGGTTCCTTATGGTCATTAAAGCCGATCTTTTTTAATTGACAACAGAATGAATAGCTTGTTGCTCAATATTTCATCTATTCACTTTGAAAATTATTTTGAACTGAGCCTGATATGCCTCCCATGACAATTTTTCATCATAGTTCATTGA